GCTTAGTAAGAATAATAAAGGAATTTCCAGCTAAGGCATCCTAGACATGAGAGCTAAATAATTCTAGAATAGTGTCTTCATACTGGAGTGCACATACCTCCAAGTAGTGTGTAAACACTTTCGAGGGAGTTCTGGACGCTAATAGCATTAAGAGCGCCAATTTCTCTTAATGTTCTGTTTCCTAAGGTAGAACTGCCTCTATTTTCACCATCACCCTTCTCCCACTTTATAGAAGAAACACATACCTGTCATTTATCCCAGATCTTTCCATGGTACAATGCTCAGGGGTATAAAAATATAAGGGTTCTAAACTAAGGGACAAAAGGGACTTTTCCCTAAGAACCAAAGAGCAAAAAGATCATCTGGGTAAAATTCAGTGAAGGGGCTGATCTTGTTTCAGTCATACCTCAAACACAAGTATGGTTCTGTGACTTAACTCTGTTTCTGTCTAATGACAAGAATTAAAAAATATGATAGATTGTTGTGATAAGGACATATTCAACAACTTTATCGGAATTTAATAACAAAGTCAGACTTTTTCTGACAGAAAACTTAGTCTAACTTGGTCCACTGGCTTTACGACGCACATTGGTGTTTGCCAGTTAGGCTATTTGGCAGACAGTCATATGAACTAACTAAGGTTAACCTGCAAATCTAAAATTTTGACAAACGTATGCTTGAAATAAGTATGTAATAAATTGTATGCCAGAAATTACCTTCTCTGCAACTACTTAAAATTTTTTAGGTATCAATTTAAAAATGCATGAGGGGGCATCGATTTTCAAAATTGTTTTGGGAGGTCTACATGCAAAAAACTTTAAGTCACTGCTACATGTTAATTAGAAACTGTGGAAACTTTTCTACAGTCATTTTACCAGACTTTCCCAGGGAGTATGAATGTAGCCCTTCCTGAGGCAGAAGGATGGAATTAAACTGGCTTCCATAGTTCTTTCCTAGTCCTAGAATTCATAGAAAGCCAACAGAATAAGAAGTAAGAAAGGAATTTATTGCTCACTTGAAAAAAGCAAATCTCTGGGGCAAGCACCATGGTAGTGTACAAAAGATGAAGAATACATGGTTCCTCTACCCTCAGAGGTTTTGGGGCAGGGTGCGGTGGCTCATGCCTGTAATCTCTCTCAGCGCTTTGGCAGGCCAAGGTGGGAGGATCATTTGAGCCTAGGAATTTGAGAGCAGCCTGGGCAACATGGCAAAACTCTGTCTCTACAAAAAATTAAAAAATAAGAAGGGATTTGGAATTCAGCAAGGGGAATAAGACACAAACACAAAGAACTAACGTAAGGGATGAATGGCAGAAGTGCAGAAAAAGAGTTAATATTAACCAGGAAGGCACATTGTATGTCTAAGAAATAAAAAGCAAGCATAATAGACATAGGGCATTGACTTTTTTTTTTTTTTTCCTGAGACAGTCTCACTCTGTTGCCCAGACTGGGGTGCAATGACGCGATCTTGGCTCACTGCAACCTCCGCCTCCAGGGTTCAAGCAATTCTCAGGCCTCAGTCTCCCAAACAGTTGGGATTACAGATGTGCACCACTACACCTGGCTAATTTTGTACTTTTTAGTAGAGATGGGGTTTTGGCATGTTGGCCAGACTAGTCTCTAACTCGTGGCCTCATGTGATCCGCCTGCCTAAGCCTCCCAAAGTGCTGGGATTACAGTGGTAAGCCACTACACCCAGCTGGGCATTCAATTGCAAAACTATTTGAAAGTGACCCTGAGGGTCCAGGACACTGGACCTTGGATATGAGTCTGTGATTTCTCTGGCCTACAACTTAATCATGTACTTTGAAGTTAGAAATGGCAGGGAAAGGCACTTAGCCATTGAGTGAACCACAGTAATCACCCAGCACCTAAATCTCATAGCCATGCACATATTAAGGCTCTAGACATTATCTTCACAAAGAATGGCTCCCAAGAGAAAGTCAACTACTAGTGCTGTTGTTAATGAAAGTGAGCAGAAAGAGGGGCATTAAAAAAGTGATGGTTCTCACCAGAAAACAGACATTTTATGATGGTAAATACTCAAAAGTTCAAGATTTGAAAGTCTCAAGGTTTATCCCTTGAGAACATCAAGGATCTAGTAAGCCTGAAGAGAGGAAACGGAAGGGCTTCAATGCCATGACAAGAAAATGGGAATTTGGCCAGGCGCGGTGGCTCACACTTGTAATCCCAGCACTTTGGGAGGTCAAGGCTGGCAGATCACGAGGTCAAGAGATCAAGACCATCCTGGCCAACATAGTGAAACCCCATCTCTACTAAAAATACAAAAATTAGCTGGGCGTGGTGGCGTGCACCTGTAGTCCCAGCTACTTGGGAGGCTGAGGCAGGAGAATTGCTTGAACCTGGGAGGTGGAGGTTGAAGTGAGCAAACAAAATGGGAATTTAATCCACAGGCCACAAGAAACCAATAAAAGACCAAAAGAGCTAGACTGCTAGTGGAGAGATGAGTGCCACCGCCTGTGTAAGATAAAGCCTGAAAGTGAATGGGGGCATAGAAATGGACAGGAAAGCAACTGATCAGTGGAAAAGACTAAAAAGAATTTAGTGGCCAACTGAGGGTGGGGAAACAGAAGGGGTGGAAGAGGACCAAGAGTCTGAGCCCTGTGTTGCCAAGGTGGTGAGACCATCAATAGAAACAGGGAAACTGGCTGGTCTGAAGGGGGCAAGTTATCTCAATTGATTGTTCAGTCAGTTACAGATTAAACTCCTTGTTCTACTCTTTCCCCCCTTTTCACTACTGCACTTGACTAATCAAAAAAAAAAAAAGAAGAAGAGAAACAGGGAAAATGAGAAAAGGACAAGGGGTGGATATTGCAGCCTGACTATATGTTTTATAAGAAAACTATCAGACATAATGTGGAATTGCTGCTCCTAACATCAAAGCAAAGTTCAAAAAGTCCAAAGGGGAGAAGCAAAACACAACAGCTAAGACCAGGGCTAACAGTGAAATAATACTCACCTCGGTATGAATTCAGTACCATCTGCTGAGCAAGGTCCCAAACCTTGATGCTAAGAAGGAAAAGGAAACAGACATTTAATCTTGACCTACACTATCAACATAAAAACATGTACAAACAAGAACTTCCTGTAATCATCATTCCCCAAGTCTTTGCCTCCTGGACTGCTAATATGGTCTACTTAAAATGGACTGCAAAATCCCTAAGGAAACCTTATAGAAAGGATAAAATTAGTCACTGGGTTCTTCGAATAAGCCCAAAATGTTACCTAATGAGGTTAACAGGATAAGAAAGGCACCCAAAGGAGGCTTAAAGACAGGAGCAGTGAGAACAGGGACCCACCAGAAGTCTTTGCTACCACTGACAGCTTGTGTGCCAGAGCTCAGGACACTGACTGTAGACACAATGTCATCATGCTCATACTTGCAGAACTTGCTGACAATAAGTGTCTCATTCTCATCTAGCTCCCACAATTCAACAGCACCTGTTGGGGTAGGGTAAGGAAAACATGAGCTTGGATTATAACAAGGCAGTAATTCATTTCTAGGATTCAAAGAGACATTGTCACTAAATTAGCAAAGTAAGTTATTCCTATAAAGCATAGTTCACATCATTGGAGAGTTTAGCTAATTTCTGAGCCTTTGACTTTATTCCGCGTTACTGTTTGCCTAATGACAGCCCAGACAAGTAGGTGGAGAATGCTTCTAGAAAAAGACAAGGATGGAACAGCCTGTAAAATTCATTACCTGCTTTCAGTGAGAGAACACTGGAAAATCAGCTCCAAGGGGACAAGGATTAAGTTTCCACAACTGTCTAAGCAGCACACTATCTAGTGATGTTAACACTTCCCAATTACTTCGATAGTAATAAGTATTTGCTGACTAGTTGAATAAATGTCTTGCAGAGTCTTTAAAAATATGTTGAATAACTGAATGCCTTGCACAGTGACTGGTTAAGTATAAAGAATCCACCAAAAGTTGTCTTGATTATGTAGTAGTCAAGCTCAATTGTCAGAGAGGTTAAATCTATTAAAAAGTGGAACTTTTAAACTTCCAACCAATGCCGGCCAACTTCTAAATTCTGATTTTTTTTTAAATACCAAAGCCTGCATCGCTGAGCCTAACAGTCAACACAAAAAAGCAGAATGAAGACAAGAAAGCGGGAAGAAATGGGAAAAGAACATGTAGCACAGATTGACTTCAGTGTTATCTTAAAAACAATATTATACTTGGTCTGGGCTGCGGGGGTTAAGGGGCAGGTTACACAGAAGAAAAATGGTTCCAATCCATTGTTTACTTTTGCTATGGATTTTTCCAGGAAATCTCACCAGACCATTTAGAATTTTAGAAAAGATATTTCCCACCCACACAAAAGTTTGCATTTGGGACCAATACTCTCATGCTCCTCCAAGTACTGAGTATAGGACATCAGACACTGAGCTCAGCCCTACCCGTACCCCAAGTTTCCATTCCATCACTCCACCCAGAGGTGGGGGTGGGGGGTGGATGAGGGGGAAGTGACTCACCTGAATCGGAGGCCACTAGAATACCTCTCTCCCCAACCCAAGTGAGGTCAGCCACTCCAGCCTCCGTTTGGACTCCGGCGGAGCAGAAGCCTTCGTTGGGGGCAGCACAAGGGTCCTTAAAAAGCCAGAGGGAGCCGGCCCAGCAGCGGCCACTCAGGCTGGAGGCCCCGAGGAGAAGCGCCCCATCTACAGGGGAGTACAAGCTGTCAGTGCGTGAAGGGTGGAAGGGCTCGTCTCCATGGAGACCGCACAGAACAGCGTGCTGGCCGGGTCTGGATCTGAGCTCAGGAACGCGGGGCAGGGCTGGGGACAGCTCGAGGTCGGGATAACATGCAGGGCGGGGAAGGGCTAGGAGGGTCAGTCCCCGGGGAGGGGCGCCCTGGGCCGGGGTGAGGGAGCTCCCAGGCCCGGGATCTCGGCTCACCGGACCGGTACCGCGCAGCCTCCAACTGCCGTTCCATGCAGGCGGGCGCATTAGGAGGAAGGTTCCACTCCCGGGCCGCCGGGGGCACTAGGGGAGGCGGGGTTTCCTTTCGCATCTCCACGGTTCCAACTCCAACCTAGATTCAAAATCAAACTGGACACCGGCCAGAGACTCAGCTCCGGCGGCAAACCCCACGTGGTGTGCTTCTGAGCCTCCGCCCCCTTCTCTAGGCTGTGGTAACTCTACTTCTCGCGAGAATTGCTTCCATGGTTCCATCCTGCTTTCCGGCTGGTGCTATCCTGCGATAGGTTCTCAGCGTTTCTTGCCTCTTCTCGCGAGAATTAAAAAAAAAAAAAAATCTTCCGATGAAAGTTGAATGAAGAGTACAAAATATTTATCTCGCGAGACCTGTGAGCGGCCATCTTGCTGCTGCCCTGACAGATTCTCCCATCGGGGTCACAGGAACGCTAAGATTGCTCTCTGGATCTTCGCTGACCATGCTGTCCCGGATAGTACTTTCTGCTGCCGCCACAGCGGGTGAGAGATATAGACCCTGGTCTGGGCTATCAGAGTGACTGGAAAGAAGCGAATCTAGGGGTCACAGGGAAGGGAGAAGGGCGCAGCGACAGGGGCTTGAGCAGCGAGTGATCCTCGCCTGTCGGAAGGGAGCCTGGAGTCTTGAGTGACAGGAAAAAGGGGTACATGGCCTTAGTGATCTAGCCTGGCAGAGGTGAGGAAGGGGTAAACCAGATTTCATTTGACTTTGCTGACCTTCGCCTTGTTTATCTGCAGCCCCCTCTCTGAAGAATGCAGCCTTCCTAGGTCCAGGGTAAGTGTAAGGGTAATGCTCCCTTTCGTGTTTGTTTTTAATCATCTTTTATTTCTCGATTCCTGCCCCCACCCCCTTAGCTTTAGGCCAGAAATTTCTTTCCGATAATTTTGGGACACTTAAACCTTCTTTCAGACACTTGTTCCTGTAACTGCCAGGAACGCTCTCAAATCACCTAATAGACTTCAACAGGATAAGTAACGTATTCCAACTAAACTAGAAATTGGTTTTGGTGTTTTCTGTACCCTCCCCACTCTTTTGTGACCTTCCCTTGGGACCTTATGTAGTTCCTGCAGCCGGAATTGGAATAGATTACATACCCAAGAACAAATTTTGTTCAACAAAACAGTAAAGCGTGTTGTTTACAGTCGATTTCCCAGATACCTCCTTTTTACTGCCATATGATAACAATCAGATAAATCATTCATTGATTCAGTAAATATTTTTGTTGCCAAACACATAACCAAGAATACAAGAATAAGTATGGCTAATTACCTGCTCTCATGGAGCTCACAGTCTAAGAATGGTAGAGTATGGGTTTAGAGTGAGGGCTCCAAAGCCAGAACAGGGTACACCTGGCTCCTCCAGTTACTACCTGGGTGACATCAATTTCCTCATCTACAAAATGGAGATAATAGTACATTGTGGCTTATGAGAATTAAGAGACAATTTCTGTGAAACTCAAAAACAGTTTCTTGATACATGGTGTGTGCTTATTAAATCAGCTGTTACTGTTAAAATTGTTTCATAAGACATGTCGGTTTTCCTAGAGATTTCTCTTTTTACTTCCAAACTTAGTTCTAAAACATGCAAAATATGGTAACTATTACATTGAAAAAAATGGACTTGAAAATGTGGTCTTATTTGTAATTAAGTATCATGTATGCAATAAAGTAAGGCTATAAATGACTGCTTCCAACTTATAAGAAAAAGGACCCCATACAGACTTGTAAACAAATAATTGTAATACTGGGTAGTAAATAAAATAACTGTATTTACAAGATACAAGAAATATCCTTGGTTTTCTTTCACACTCCATGTCCAGTACTTCAGCAAGGCTCTTCCTCTAGAAATTTGTACTCTGGCTGCTACTTCCGCTACCACTAAAGTATGAAGCACCATAAACTTTCACCTAGGTATTTTAGTAGTCTCTTAATTAGCCTTGCATCTCTATTCTTGTCCCATTACAGCCCAATTCTCATAATAGCCAGAAGGATTATGTCATTCTCCCACCAAAGCCTTCCAGAGCTCCCCATCCCACTTGAAATAAAATCCAAACTTAGCATAACCCGCAAGTTCTAACATGAATTGATCCCATTCTGTCTCCTTCTGTTCTCAAGTCATTCTCCAACCATACTGGCCTTGGTCTTCCTCTGAAAACTACCAAGCGTATTCTTGCCTCAGGATCTTTCTACTTGCTCTTCTCTCTTTTCCCCAGATCATTGGGTCAAATGCTATCTGACTCCCTACCAAATACTCTTCCCTGTTCTGTTCTCCCTATTCCCTTACCTTGCTCAGTTTCTCTTCATAGCACTTACAGCTACCTGAAATTTTGTGTGGAGATACACACTCACCCTTCCCATACCCCCACTAGAAAGTTGAAGGCTGGAGCTTTGTTCCCGGTGCCTAGTATTAGTAGAAAGTCAGTAAATGTTTTATTGACTAAAAGAATGAATGTTAGCCCAAAGTGGGGGAGGGCTTTACAAATCTGGAGGCTGATTGGTCTCAGTAGTCATTGCTACTGGTTGGTCTTGATAGTCATTGCTATTAAGTCATAGTATGAAAGGAATAAAAGGCAGAAGGAGCAGCATAGGGCAATTTTTTTGTGATGTTTCTTTGTTTGTTTTTGAGAGCTGTTCAGTAATTCCAGAAGTATAAGAGAATGAAGGAAGATGAGGTTATAAAATTTGACAGGATCAGTCACAGTGGTGTTTCATTCCTATAATCCCAAGGCTAAGGCAGGAGGATCGCTGGAGCCCGAGAGTTCAAGACTAGCCTGGGCAGCATGGTGAGACAAAAACAAAATTTTTTTAAATATCTGGGCATCGTGCCATATGCCTGTAGTCCCAGCAATTGGGAAGGCTGAGGTGGGAGTATTGCTTGAGCCCAGGAGTTGAAGGCTGTGAGTGAGCAGTGATGGCACCACTGCACTCCAGCCTGGGTGCCAGAGTGAGACCTTGCCTCAAAAAAAAAAAAAAAATTGACAAGTACTGTTAGACTAAGTAGTTTTCTGTAGGCAGGAGACCGCCTGTTGAGTTTGCAAGTCAAATTTTCATTTTAGAAACATTGGCAGTAATGTGAGTGGCTAGGTTTAAGTTGGGGAATTTAATAAGAAGCAGAGGTCAGGTACAGTTGCTCACACCTGTAGCTTCAGTACTTTCGGAGGCCAAGATGGGCAGATCACTTGAGGCCAGGAGTTTGAGACCAGCCTGGCCAACATGGCAAAACCCTGTCTATCCTAAAAATAGAAAAATTAGCTGGGCATGGTGGCACACACCTGTAATCTCAGCTACTCGGGAGACTAAGGCACAAGAATTGCTTGAGCCTGGAAGCGGAGGTTGCAGTAAGCTGAGATTGCTCCACTGTGCTCTAGCCTGGGTGACAGAGCAAGATTCTGTCTCAAAAAATAAAATAAAATAAAATAAAAAAGCAGAAAGACCAGGTCTTGGATTGTTAAACTAAGCAAGAGATGATAAGGGCTTAGACTAAGGTAGCTAGCTGAGGAGAAGGCTTGTCAGCCTAAGCATATTCTTTAGTGCTGTGATTTAAATCAGTCCCCTGGGATGGTTTGTCCCCTGGGGTGCTTTGCCCGCAGGGGACATTTGGCTATGTCCGGAGATACTTTTCAGTGATACCATTGGGTGGGTAGGGGAGGGAGGGTGCTAATGGTATCTATTGTATAAAGGCCGCAAAGATACTGCCAGACATTCTACAGTGCACAGAACAGCCTTTTATAATAAAGAAGTATCCAGTGCAAACATCAGTAGTGCTGAGTTGAGAAGCCTTGATGTAAGTGAAGAAATCTCAAGCATGATTCTCAGATTTCAAAACCTGGCAGGGCAGCTAATATATTTGGAGGCAGAAATAATATTCAAAAGATAAGCATTGTACCAAAATAAATGAAATAATGTAAATTCTTACATTACAAGGAGATAGAAGTTGAGAGCGTGGAGGAATAGAGGGTAGGAAGTGGGACAAAAATATACTGAAAACTTGAAGGAGACCAAACGTGACAGCAGATATAAAGAGACTAGATTTTATATCATCAGAATCTTAAGGAGACGTTGGCATACTGTAACTGTGAAAAATGTAGTCTTAAACTGCTTTAATACAAGAATAGTTTCCATATCCACTGTTGATAATAGTGCAATTGTTCAAGCTCAGTACTGGCAATAAAAGTTTTCCACAAGTGTTTGTAGAATGAATGAGTTGGCCAAACTAACAGTATTATATTCAGTTCTGTTTACCTGATTTAAAAAAAAAAACAAAACAAAACAGAGAGCTCCTTGTGGGCAATCAGGATTGTGAGGGAACATGTTTGACCCAGGTACATGTGTGTTATCTTACACAGAAAAGCAAAATTAGGACTAAGAATGGATTGAAGTTCCAAGAATGTATGTAGTATGTCAATTTAAAGATGAACATACTTAGAGCTACCCAGTACTGAAAAAGTCTGTTACATATAGTGATTAGCACCCCCATCAAAAGAGTGTTCAAAAAGATCAAGGAGCTTACAACATATCAGGCATATAACAGCTAACCACTTACATAAAACTTTGCCATGTGCCAGACATCATTCTAAGCACTTTACGTGTATTTATTTTCATTTTACCAAGAGGAATCTGAGATTACAAAAGCTTAAGCTCTTTACTCAAAGTCAAGGGGCAGGTCTAGGATTTGAAACCAAGGAGTCTAGCTGGCTGCCACATCCACATTCTTATATATTTCATTGCTAATAATAGACGTACAAAGTGCTAGACAGATGATCTGCAAGGCTTATAGAAAGGGTTCTAGTATTGGGTAAAAGGTTAAGTATCTGTGATTAAGTCTTTGCTCTTGTCACAGCTGATTACTGGACCCTAACCTTCCTATTCCCAGTCCGTTTTCTTTCCAGTTAGAAAACTGCCTCAATCCTCAACCTTATTTATTGTTTCTGCTAATTATTCATACGTTGTATTCTCCTTAATTAAAAAAAAAAAAAAAAAACCGGCTTCACATTTGTACAATTGCTACCTGTAGGGTATTGCAAACAACAAGGACCTTTCACACAGGGCAGCCACACCTTGCCCCTGTACCACCTCTTCCTGAATATGGAGGAAAAGTTCGTCATGGACTCATCCCTGAGGAGTTCTTTCAGTATCTTTATCCTAAAACTGGTGTAACAGGTGAGCATTTTTGCTGAATCTTTCATGATATATTTTGATGGCACCACTAAAATCAAGTCAAGTGGGTTTGTTTTTTTTTTTGTTGTTGTTGTTTTGTTGTTTTGTTTTTTTTTTTTTTTTTTGAGACAGGATATTACTCCATCACCCAGGACGGAGTGCAATGGCACAATCACAGCTCACTGCAGCCTCCATCTCCCCAGGCTCAGATCATCCTCCCACCTCAGTCTCCCAGGTAGCTGGGACTATAGGCGTGCACCCAGCTCATTTTTCTATTTTTTGTAGAGACAGGGTTTCACCATGTTGCCCAGGCTGGTCTCCCAACTCCTGGGCTCATGGGATCTACCCACCTTAGCCTCCCAAAGTGCTGGGATTACAGGCTTGAGCCACCCGCCTGCAGCCACAAGTCAGCTGTTTTAAAAGGAAATTGTAACAATTGATTTGATTGCGTCAACCTGTCTTTGGTATAAATTTATTTGGGATTTTAACTTAATTTTACAGCATTATCTCTATTCATTAGTAGATCCAATTTTTTGATGCCTGCTTTATCAGGCACGGTTGCAGGCATACAGTGTTGAACAGTGTTAAGTGCCTGCTGTCATGGGACAGACATTCTGTTGTAGGATGACAGTAAAGAAATGAGTAACTGTATAATACACTGCCTTTCTTGGCCTGTACCCAAGTATTGCTATGACTGTGGAGCATTGGCAACCAAGGATTGTGTTTTTTAGCCCTCGAGTCACCTAAAGTAGCATTTTCCTAACTGAAATTGCTAGAAACATTAGTCTCAGACTTCCATAGGTGATAAAAATTTTACATATGATAGACATTTCTTGCAAATTCATATTTAAAATTTATATATTAAAGACAGTTTTAAAAGCTGTTGGAATTTTGTATGTGAAACTGGGTAAAATGTATTTGAGATTGTAACCCTGTTATTCTCATGATATATCCTGCCATCCTATGATGATTCTCAGAAATACTGTAAAATGTTTTCCTAAAAGCCTGCTCTGGCCCTCCCTTACATCCTGTGAGGCACAGAGGAAAGACTAAAGAAATATAAATCATGCTTTACATCCTTTCAGAATTCATGGCCTGGCTAAAGAAGAAGCAATATTTGAACTGTTGTAATCAGGTGCTACAGGAGTTGAGAATCCTAATATTTATTCATCCTTTTATATACATATCACTTTATAGTTGGCTTTTGCTTGTTTCTCTTGTAAATTTTATCTTGTCTAGTGTTCCCATTCAATAAATAGTATATTTTGCTGGACAAATTACTTTAGAAAGTTATGTGACATCTTTGTAGAATAACTTAAGTTACTGTGCTGGGTATTGTACTTAACGTTACTTCTCAAATTTATCAAATTGAAGAAGGTACTGTCCCCATTTTACAAATAAAGAACTAAATTCAGAGATTATTTAGATTGCTCAGTTTCTTTAAAGTTGTAAAGTCAGTATACGGATTTCCCTGAGCCCATATCTTTATTCTTTCAACTCTACCATACTGCTTGCTGCTCAATCTAGTGTTTTGTCTTTGAATTTAATTAAGTCGTTACTTTGCCTTCAACTGATCAAATGTAGAAGTACCTTTCTATCTTTCCTCTTTTAGGTATAGCATATCCATGCATAAAATAGCTCTTTCTTCTTTTAGGACCCTATGTGCTTGGAGCTGGGCTTATCTTGTATGCTTTATCCAAAGAAATATATGTGATTACCGGAGAGACCATCACTGGACTAGCAACAATAGGGATATATATCTTTGGAATTAAAAAATTTGGTCCTTCTGTTGCAGCATTTGCTGATAAACTCAATGAGGTAAGAACCATAAACATTATTTCCTGTTTTAGAATAGCAGAAACATGAAGGTCATCTAGTGATATTTTTGATGTGAGTGTTAGAGGAGCAACATAGAAATGAATCTAATGTTTCAAATAAATGTTAATGTTATTACTAATTTGAGATTTTTTAAATATCTATTAAACCCTTCAGCTTTTCTATAGTTTAATCATTCAAAACATATCTTGTAGCTATTACGGGCAATCCTTTTTACGGATTTGTGCACTTCTTTCTATATATGTTTCTTTGTGGATGTTTTTACAAATGAGAGACAACTTTGAGAAAACATGAAATCTCCTTTTTTTTTTTTTTTTTTTAACCCTATGTGCTTTTACTCATCTTTGTTGTTGCTATCACAATTGTAGCAAAAACTTGCCCAACTGGAAGAGGCAAAGCAGGCTTCCATCAACAACATCCAGGATGCAATTGATACGGAAAAGGCACAGCAGGCACTGGTTCAGAAGCGCCATTACCTTTTTGATGTGCAGAGGGTAGGTTTCAGAAGATTCTAGGAAAAATTAAGTTATTTGTTGCGTGTGTTTTTTTTTTTTTTTTTTTCAGAATTTTTAATGAAAAATGGTTAAATAGATTGAACATATTTTATTTAGAAAAGAGATTTGTGTAGGAGTTGACATTCACAGCTATTTAACATTTAAGAACTGTCAAGTGGAAAAATAATTCAAATTATTATAAAATTAGAAACAGTGGAAGTTATTAAAAAAAATTTTTGGATCCACACAAAAGGAAATAGTCATTAAGTTAAAGCTGATTTTAAAATGGCAATACATTGTCTAAGAAAGACTGTAGGTAAAATATATCCTGTGTATTTCATACACACCACACTACAAGAACATCTTAACGTCTTTGTTGTAAGGAAATCTGATACTGTACATTCTGAATCCACAAAGCAGGCTGGACACAGTGGCTCACACCTGTAATCCTAGGACTTGAGGAGGGCGAGACAGGAGGACTGCTTGCACACAGGAGGTCGAGCCTGCAGTGAGCTACGATCCCACTACTGCATTCCAGCCTGGGCAGCAAAGCAAGACTGTCTTAAACACACATATACACACACTTATATACACATATATACACACATATACACATAACAAATTCAGATAGCAGTAGAGCTTTTTATCATGGTCAGAACATGATTAGATTCTAAAATATGTAGCTTCCAAGACAATCCTTAGGAACATGTTCAAGTATTTTGTTATTACTGTTTTTACTTTGAGCTTTGTATTTTATGGCTAATATTTAAAAGTGAGGTGCTGATATTTCGAAGTTTTATATTAAAATGAAATGAAAAATGAGATGCTAAGATAGAGTAAGCATCTGATATATTTAGGATCTTGGCTAGTGTGGTCTCGGTACCACATGCATTAGAGTTATCTTTGGTGTTAAGTTTTTGGTTCCTTTCTAAGACTTGTGGAATCAGAACCTTTCTTAGGGGCTATCCAAGAATCTGTATTCTTTTAAACAAGATCCCTAAATACTCTTAAGCACATGGATATTTGACAATCTCAGAAAATGTTAATTCCATGTATATTTAGGTTACAACTAGAGACTGATTCCTGCTTCTTGCATATTATGTATACACACGTGAATGCATACACACATATATTTTGGCTTTTTTTAAAAACCATATTGGATTGCAGTGAGCTGAGATTGTGCCATTGCATTCCAGCTTGGGCAACGAGAGGGAAACTTTGTTTCAAAACAAAAACCCTATTGGAAAATGTAGCTTTTTCCTAAGAGTCAAATGGTAGTAGTTTAGGTTTTTATTTATTTATAATATATTTACTTGATAGATATTTATTGAGTTCTTCCTGTGTAGATATTCTGACCAAGACAGTGTGCTGAAAATATAGTGGAGAACGAAAAAGTTTCTGCCTTCATGGAGTCTTATTTTCTAGCCAGGCAAAGGAGAAGCACAGAAAATAAATAATAGAACAGATACAAATGTCAACAGGTAATGAATGTTAGATAGAAAAATAAACTCGCATTAAAAAGATTGCAGGCCGAGCGTATTTGGCTCATGCCTATAATTCCAGCATTTTGGGAGGCCAGGGCAGGACTATCACTTGAGTGCAGGAGTTTGTGACCAGCCTGGGCAAAATAGTGAGACCTCCTGTCTATAAAATTACAGGAGTTACTATTTTTATAGGGCATTCAAGAAATGTCTCTAATATGATATTTGAGCAGAGACCTAAAAGAAGTAATAGTGCAAGGTATGTGGATTTCTGAGGAAATAAGTTCCAGGCAGAGGGAAGAACAGTTGCAAATGCTGTAAATCTGGAAGTTGGCTTGGCATAGTCAAGGAAAAGTAAGAAGGCCCATACAGCTGAAGTAGAATTGGTGGGGGGAGAATAAAAGGAGACAGAGGGTGGCCTGGGACTATGATATGATATGTGAAGACCTTAAGTTTTTATAAGAACTTTGACTTGGACTGTGAATGAGAGAAAGTCATTGGAGGATCACTCGGATTGCCTTGTTGCCAATAGCCTTCAGTTTGGTATGCATTGGTTTGTGATGCCTATGGGTAAGCCAAGTAGAGATACATAAGAGCTTGGCCCTGTAGCCTTACTGCCTGTGTGCTGATCTTGGCTTCACAGTTTATTAGCTCTGTGACCTTGGGCAAGTTTCCTAACTCTGCCTCACTTTTCTCACTGCAAAATGGACATAATTATAATAACTATGCCGTGGTATGGTTATAAGATTTAACTGAATCTAAACATAAGAGTGTTTAGAGCATAGTTGGTACTCTACAAATGTTAGCTATTATTTGACCCAGCAAGTGTTATGACATAAACACAAGGACAAATACACAATGTATGCACCATTACTTGTAGTACAAAATAATGAATTATGGAATACCAGAATAGTGGAATCCAATGTAATTTAAAATTGAGGTAGGTTTGTGTGTCAGAATTAATAAAAGTAATGTGTATATGCCTATATTTTGATGTGTATACCTCTATTTTTATTAAATATTTCTGGGAGGGAATATAAGAAATACAGTAAGTTAGTGGTCTATGGGGGAGACTGAAGGAGACTTTTTCTTACTGCATACACTTTTAAATATGTTTTTGCCATATCCTGCTATAATTTCTAGGTATATATTACCTATTAAATAAAAGAATTTCACATAAAATACAAAAGAAGTGGGTCATTCTCACTGGCAGAATCTTCAGAGTAGAAGTGTTCCTTCAAGTGTATAAACAATATTCATTTCTTAATTTTGCTGCAGAATAACATTGCTCTGACTATGGAGGTTAGTTACCGGCAACGACTGCATACGGTTTATAAGGAAGTAAAGAATCGCCTGGACTATCACATATCTGTGCAGAACATGATGCGTCGAAAGGAACAAGAGCACATGATAAATTGGGTGGAGAAGCACGTGGTGCAGAGCATCTCTGCACAGCAGGTACACAATATTTTTGAGGTTCTGACACTGTACTTGTATCTCTAATGAGTATCTACCGATGTTTTGTTAAGGTAGGAATAGCTGGCAAGGAGTCTTTAGCCTAGAAACAGCAATGTGACCCCGGTTTGTTTTTCTGGATAGTGATAAGCAAGAAGATGCTGCATACCTACCACGATGGCTTTTCTCTTTCCTCAGATTTGGGTAACATTAACCAATATATTTAATTTCTCTATAAAACAGACTGGGCTGGGCATAGTGGCTCTGCCTGTAATCCCAACACTTTGGAAGGGCAGGGCAGGAGGATCACTTGAGGCAAGGGGTTTGAGACCAACCTGGGCAACATAGCGAGATCCTGTCTGCACAAAAAATTTAAAAATTAGCTGGGTGCGATGGCAGATGCCTGTAGTTCCACCCACTCAGGAGGCTGAGGTGAGAGGATCTCTTGAGCCCAGGAAGCATAGGCTGTAGTGAACTATAATTGTGCTATTGCACTCCAGCCGGGTGACAGAGCAAGACCCTGTCTCAAAAAATAAAATAAGTAAAAGATGGAACAAGTCTATTTCTAAGCCCCTTCCATTTTCTAATTCCATGACATTCCATTTCTTCTTCTCAGCTGCATAATTTATCTGTTTTGAATGGAAATGTTTTCTATTTGCTTAAACTGAATTACTTTATTTATATTTTTGCTTTATTATTACTTGATTTTTTTCTTAGGAATATAACATTTAATTATTTCTGGTCATTTTCAGCATAACCTATATAGAATTAGAAGAACAGGGTCAATCAAAGTGTTTTTTTTTTAATAAACTATCTTTTACATAACTAATATACATGCTTAAGAAACTTAGAAAATACAAAAGAAGCCTAAAAAAGAGACTAAAAATTATTTTCATTTCTAACATTTGTATATTACTAATATTTGTTTGGTTGGTCTTTTTCAAGCAGCTGTTAATTATATAAGCCAACATCAGTGGCAGATGGTTACAGGAATATCTGGCCTCAAATTCTATGCAGGTTTTAATCAAAAGCTGTGAGCCAGGGAATTTTAACTAACCCCCTGGATTTGCTTAAAATAAATTGTATCTTCTCTGTTTTAATTTTATATCTAAACCAGTCTAGTAGCCATATAATGTTAAGCCAGTAATCCTCTTGAGCTTCTGGTCTGGTAGGAGTTGTCTTTTAGAATAATGGTGTTTATACTTTTCTATGTTTTGGAAAGGTCTTACCAGATTTCTCTTTCCTTATCACAGGAAAAGGAGACAATTGCCAAGTGCATTGCTGACCTAAAGCTGCTGGCAAAGAAGGCTCAAGCACAGCCAGTTATGTAAATGTATCTATTCCAATTGAGACAGCTAGAAAGTTGACTGACTAAATGGAAACGAGTTTATTTGACAAAATCTTTCTGTATTGGTGTCTACTGAAGTTATGGTTTACCTCTCCTAAAAATGAAAAGTTTGTGTTAAATAGTGACAGAACGAAATCTCTATCGGCCAGTCAACTATTTCTCGTCATTCTTACTCTGCATTTGAGTTATTCTATGATCACTTCTGTATAAGCCTTTATAAAAACTTGCTGCCTGACTAAAGATTACCACGTTGTAGTTTAAATTTGTAATTAATTCTACCGTCTTGCAATAAAGTGACAATGACATGAGGTTTTTCAAGTTGTATAAGTCTCTGAAATACTCAGCTTTTGTCATATAGGTAAAAATTAAAGATGTCATTGAACTACTGTCTTGTTTATGAGACCATCCAGTGGTGAATTATTTCTGGCTGATATGAGATATGTAAAGCTTTGTAGTACTCTTAAAATAACTAAATGGAATATTGTATATCAATTCATATCGTTGACTTTATTACCATTTTAGTAGTATGCCTGTAGAAAATATTATGGACTCAGTGTGTCATAAAATCACTCTTAAGAATCCAGCAGGCCAGGCACAGTGGCTCGCACCTGTAATCCCTGCACTTTGGGAGGCTGAGACAGGCAGATCACTTGAAGTCAGGAGTTTGAGACCAGCCTGGCCAACATAATGAAACCCTATGTCTACTAAAAATACAAAAAGTTAGCTGGGCATGGTGTCAGGCACCTGTAATCCCAGCTACCTGGGAGGCTGAGGCAGGACAATTGCTTGAACCCAGGAGGCAGAGGTTGCAGTGAGTCAAGATCACACCACTACACTCCAGCCTGGGCGACAGTGAGACTCCGTCTAGGGGAAAAAAAATCCAGCAGGCACCTATCAAGAACATAGAAAATAGCAGGTGTTGGCGAGGATGTGGAGAAGTTGGAACCCTTGTGCACTGTTTGTAGAAATACAAAATGGTACAGCCACTGTGGAAAAGGGTGAAATTAAATTGGAAATACCATGATCCAACAATCCAACATCTGCATATATACTGAAAAAAGCAGGATCTTGAAGAGATACTTGGTACAGCATGGTGATAGCAGCAACATGGAAGCAGCCCAAGTGTCCATCAATGGATGAATAGATAAGCAAAGCATGGTATATCCATGCAATGGAATATGATTCCACCCTAAGGAGGAAAATTCTGACACTGGTTGCAGCATGAATGAAACTTGAGGACGTTAAGCAGTTTTATAAGTTGAGTTATGGAGCTGGACAGTGGTGATGGTGGCACATTAAGAATGTATTTAATACCATTCTTAAATGATACACTTAAAAACGGTTAAGACGGTAAATGTTGTATGTACTTTACAGTTTTTTTAATTGAAGAAAAATCCAGCAGATAAGTTAGAAAATTCTTCCCTTCACGGGTTTATCTGTGTTTAATTCTCCCATACTTTTACAAGGATTTATTTGTATTCAAATGGACAGATTACATAATAGGAAATATTTTAAAAATATGTATCAAGAGATTGCTATTTTCATTGACTTCCTAAGATTTTATGTAATATTTGAGTTAATATTGATAGCTAATATACTCATCTAATATTGAAATCAGATTGTTGTCTTTGTTACTTAAAGAGAATTTGATTGGGTCAGCAGTTATTTCAAATTATTCATTAAACAAAAAATTATAAAACACCTAGTTTATGCTAAACAACAATGCAGTGATCATACAGAGATAAAAGTCCTTACCTCGCAGTTAAATATCTACTAGGAAGACAGAATGTGTGATAATACAGACTTGCGCACAGGGTGCTCTGAGAGTGTGGCAAGCACCATGTTAGGTAGTCTCACCAGCCTCATGTTTCCCTGATATGTATCATCCAGGTCAGCATTCAGTCAGAGAAGCAGAATATATGTTTATATGTAAGGAATCTGACTATGCTCTTGTGGGAGCTAGTTAAACAATCCAAAAAGCTGTTAGTGTTCTTTCTGATGCTGGAACTCGAAGTCCACAGGGCAGGTGGTTAAGGGAAAATGAATGTAAAGTGGGAGACAGTAAGAACCAAGTGGAAATAACAAGCACAAACGAACCCAGGTCAGTTTTTATCATCTTTGGCCTTGATAGTGTGGTTGTCCTATATACAGCTAGTGCTCGACTTACGACCATGATTGGTTCCGACAGACCGGTTGTAACACGATTTGGTCGTAAGTTGAGTAGGCTATATGTACAGTACTGTGAAATGATGTTATAAAAATCTTTAAGTCATATTTTATCATAATTTTCTTTCATTATTGTTATATATCATAATTTTCTTTGTTCATTTTATGCCATTTGTATCATCTCTACACCATTTTGTTTCTTATTTTTACATTCGTCAGGTTTAAGTAAAACACTGCATTACCAGTACAACTGGTTTAATGTTTGCAAAACATACAAAATTACAAAATACAGGTGCATACCAAAATACAAAATACAGGTGTAAAAAATACCATAGGAAACATTTTGCCAATTGCAAAACATATCAAAATATATAAACATGTACGAAACATTTTATTGGCCGCTGGTGCTTGGCTGCGGATCGTTGATGTCGTCATCTGAGGCAGCTGTTGGGGTTACCGGAGTTGGTTTTTTCATAAACATGGTAAGCTTTGTCTGAATTGTATGTTTCTTTTTTTCTTCATAAATTTCACAATACGGATGAAACACATCGTGCGCCATCCGTTCAATCCTTGCAAATCATTCGATGTTTGGGTCCATTGCTTCAAAAGGTATAAGAAGTTTATTGGGAGGGGTTTGATGAAAAATATCCAAGACACAAAACACAAATTGCTGTACCAAGTCTGGGATAACAGTTGAAATGGTGCACGCGGAGATGGTAGTGCTGCCGGAAGCTGGTCCGCACTGTCGTCCGCCCAGCTGGGCAACGTTTGCTCTGCCAGACGTGGAGCAGTCATGGCTAGCGATTGTGGTCGTAAAGTCAAATGGTCGTAAGTTGCATAGGTGGTAAGTCGATCAATACCTGTAACCCCATATCCATCGTAAACACCTGGTTTAAAGAAACCTGGTTAGAGAAACAAGAGTGATCCAGGGAAAAGATAGGAAGTTGTCCAGCTGCAACTTGTGAGCCAACACAACATGTATGAGCTATAAAACAGCTGCTGCTTCACATTCATCCTTCAAATTTTGCTCAAGACTTGTGGCTTACCCTACCTAACCAGAACACTGAGGGAGGATAATTCCAGAAAATGTAGTTCTGCCTAACCAAGCTGACATTACAAACACCACACTAACTATCCTATCAATAATTGTTAACCTGAATGAATAAAAGTGCTTAAAAATTTCAGACCCAGGAGTAAAACATGGAGAGAACAGAAAGGTGACAGGTTGGAAAACAAATGGTGTCTGAGCTGGCATTTCTAAGTTAGCCAAGAGGGTGTCCGGGGGATTAGATAGAGTCCAGGAAGATGGAACAGCATTTGTGACTAGAGAGGCAGGGGAGTGTGACATTTTAAAAACTCAAGTTTGAGCGAAATATAAATATTTAATAAATTATATTTGTGGGTTTTTGGTTTTTTTTTTTTTTTTTTTTTTAGATAGGGTCTGGCCCTGTCACCCAGGCCAGAGTGTGCAGTGGTACAATTTCGGCTCACAGCAGCCTCTGCCTCCTGGGCTCAAGTGATCCTCCCACCTTAGCCTCCTGCAGAGCTGGGACTACAGGCATGCACCACCACACCCATCTAATTTTTGTGGGGTTTTTGGTAGAGATGGGGTCTCACCATGTTGCCCAGGCTGGTCTCAAACTCTTAGGCTCAAGCAAGCTTCCGCCTCCCGAAGTGCTGGAATTACAGGCGTGAGCCACAGCACCTGCCTATACTAGTGTTCTTAAATGCTGTGCTTAGAATTTGGATTTTGTTCTGACAGAGGGCAGCCCCCCAAAGGTTTTAGGCAATGATTACTAGATTTCTGTTTCAGAAAAATCACTAGCAACAGAGGAGAGGGGCAAGACTAGTTAGGCTATTGGATCATTCTAGCTAGCCAATATTGAAGGCCTTAACCAAAGGCCTTGACAGTATAGATTGAAAGAACTGTTGAGAAATACTAAAGGTAACATTTGTAGGACCCAACCGAAGAGAACATGGAAGAAGAGAAGAATCAAGCTGAATCAGGTTTCTTGCTTGAGAGGGTAGAAAAGGGAGGCACTATTCACTAATTTGTAATACACAGACAACTGTGCTTCAGGAAGAATAGGGCTAGGTATAGAGCCATGAAAACACATCAATGTTTGAGGCATGGCAGAGAAAAAAGTAATCTGCAAAAGAGGGAATGGTCAGTCATTGGATGAAAACCAGCAGGGAATAAAGTCATAAAGTTGAGAGACTGGAGAGTTTCATCAAAGAAGAGTCAATAGTAACCAATTTTTTAAGGAGATTAAGAGAAGGACTGAAAGTGCCGATTAGAGCTAAGAGCTTAGAGGTCTTTAATGTCCTTACGGTGGTTTGGTTGAATGGTAGGAACAGAAGAAGAGTACATGAGGTTAAAAGGATTGAACAGCAATGAAGAAATTGACTTAAATGTAGAATAATTTCCAGAACACTTCTCACCCCAGTAACTAGAGGGAGCCAAAGGTTGGCTCAGGGGAATATTGTTTTAAGAGGCTCGAATGAAGAAAAAATCAATGGAAAAAGAGGATGAAAAGAAAACCATGAAGGAAGATAAACATAGTAAAATCTCTAAGTGGGAGAATAGTACTCACACGATAGAAATTAACAAGGTAAACATCTTCCATAGAAAGGTGAGGATGGACCTTGAAAGAATGACGTTTTTCACTGAGGAACGGGAAGCTCATTCATTAATCATTTATTTAAAAAAAAAAATACCATGTGTCATGCTTACTGCTAGAAATTAAGGTAGGACAATTTGGCATCACCACATCACTTACAGTCTAGCAATCTAGGCATTGAGTAGTATAGGGTTGCCATTGTTAAAACTGCAGGGTGAGGCCAGGCGCGGTGGCTCAAGCCTGTAATCCCAGCACTTCAGGAGGCCGAGGCAGGAGGATCACGAGGTCAAGAGATCGAGACCATCCTGGCCAACATGGTAAAACCCCGTCTCTACTAAAAATACAAAAATTAGGTGGGTGTGGTGGTGCGCGCCTGTAGTCCCAGCTACTCGGGAGGCTGAGGCAGGAGAAATGCTTGAACCTGGGAGGTGGAGGTTGCAATGAGCCAAGATTGTGCCACTGCACTCCAGCCTGGCGCCTGGCAACAGAGTGAGACTCTGTCTCAAAAAAAAACAAAAAACTTTAGGGTGATAGGTGCACATAGAAGTAAACTTAATCTAGTGTAGGAGATTATGAAAGGCCTTCTAGAGCAAGTAATATGTAAAGTGGTATCTGTGGAAACGAGAGATCATCAAACAGAGGGAATGTAAATATCTTGTGTGAAGTTCCTGAGGTAGGAAGGAGCATGGCACCTTGAAAAACAACCCTAGAATGAAAGACGAGCACAGAGAGGGCAAGAGAGGGTGCAGGAGATAATGCGGGAGAAGTGTATCATCCAGATTATGCACGTTTATGGCCTTTTGACCATATTCGAGAATTCTATGCTTTTTTCAAAAGACTGGAAAGCCAGTTTTTTAAAAATAGACTTTATGCAAGGTAGGTATGGATAATGTATTAAAAGAGTTGCCAGCAAACTTTTCCTCTATAGGGCAGATTTTAATAGTTCAGACTCTGAGGGCCACAAACAGTCTGTGCTACATAATTGTCTGTTTTGTTGTTTTCTTTTGACATCCGTTTGACCTCTGTAAGACTGTAGAAAACAATAAGAGTAGGTGGTGGGACCATCTAGGAAGTTATTAGAGTAGTCTAAGGAGGATCGGATGTGGCTTGGGAGAGAATGGCCATAATGAGAAAGAAGAGACTTGCCATAAGATTTTAGAGTTTGAATTGACAAAGCTTGCTTGTTGATAGGAGGAGAGGAGGATGTGAGATTGAGGAAAGCATGTAAATTGCCTCATAGGGTTCTGGCTGTGTGGTACTGTTAATTAAGATAGAAAATAGAGGAGAAGCTACAGCATTCAGTTTTATTGTTGAATGTAAGTTAACAATGAGATGGTTCTATAGCAACATTAGGAAATGAGCTTAAGATCTGGCCAAAATAATGGCTAGAAACATAAAGTATGGCATCAGTAGCATATAGATAGTAAATCCAGGGAATGGCTGAGGTAACTTAGGAAAACTGTATGGAGTAAGAAGAGAGGGCATCTCAACCAGATTGGATGGAGGAAATCAAGCAGGCAAAGGATACTGGTGAGAAAGGGCCAA